TAACTGTACCATATTCATACTTCTCGAAATGGTAAAAACTTGAAATCAGAAATTTATTAAAAATGCAAGTTCAATATTAATGTGCATAGCGGAAATACTTAAATACGTGATTTATTATACAGACATGTCAAATACTTAGTAAATGTCCACATGAAATAAGTGCACGACCATCACCACCACATCTCGAGCTCACACCTCCGCCCCGACCCTGTTACCTGAAAAATACAATGGGGGTGAGTACTGATCCTCTTGTACCCCGAAATCACTCATACTAAAGTAAACATCAATAATAATACAATATCATGATCTTTAGTATATATCTGGACTGGAAATCTGTTCCAGTAACTTAAACTGAATCTGGCCGATATCTGATCGGATACTTATGCACAATCTGATGGATATTTCTCAAGGCATCTCAAACGGCCTCCATCAAAACTTAGGATATACTCTAAGACAACTGAATGCCTCCTCATCCGAAGCGTATAAACTTAAACTGTATACATACCTCGAACATGATATCAATATTATACTCAATGTAATACCCAGTCTGGGTCCCCACCTTTCTCCTTTAAAAAATCGTAAGTGTTGATCTCGAGTAGCTAACTCCTCAAGCTACATAAAAATATATAAACAAATATACTAAGTACTATGCTCGTATACTCAATAAGATGCTCGGATTCTCAACTCTTTCGGATAACTTATCCAAATCTTATGCTCAAACTTAACTTTTCTTTGATATATCATATCATATCTCCGAAATCTTATATATTGGCTTATACTCATTTTTCACTTAATTAACTTGAAAGTGAAAATAAACTGAAATCATACTCTAATTTTAATCATGATATTAATATGTGAGATTTAAAACAATCTTTATAAAATTGTATACTCAACATATTAAACTAAAACTTTGTCAAACTGTTCATATTAAACTGTCGACCGTCGAATACACATATTAAACTCAAATCACACACATCAAATACACATATTAAACTGTCGACCGTCGGCCTCCCGCCGTCACACACATCGAATACACATATTAAATTGTATCCGCCGTCTCCGTCGACCTGGTCGCCCGGACCTGCGCGGCCTAGGGCAGCTGCTCGTCGCGACGACGCACATGAACTCCGGCCGCCGCTGTGAACTCGCCACGTGACAGGAGCGCCGCCGCTGGGCGGAGGTATGTACAAAAAAAAAAAAATAATAATAAAAAATTAAAATTGCTTACCGGTAGTTTGAACGGCCGAGGGAACAAGCGCTTACGGCACTGTGGACGGGCGGATATCGGTCTCCGGCGGCGGAGCCGCGGCTGGGAGGCTGAAAAAAGGGTTTGAGTTTGAGGACCAGCTTTTGGAAATTTGATAAGTTTCAGGGGCTGATTTGCAATTTTAAGACTTTTAGTTAATTACAATTAAACCACTGGGGTCAATCTGCGAATTCAAACAATTGTAATTATATTCCAATTTAGACCATGGGTCAAATCTACAATTTACCAAAAATATTTAAAAACATATTATCTTGTATATATTTTTTTATACATATATATTTATTGAGGATTTAAAAGAAAAATCTATTACAAAAGAATAAATAAAAATATTAAAATACTAAATATATTTTTATAATATAAATAATAAATTAATTCAATTACTCAAGTTAATTCAATTAACCGACAAAATAATAAATAGAAAATTATCTTAATTATTAATTTATTACTTGTAATTGAATTAATAATATAAATAATAAACTAATTCAATTACTCATGTTAATAATATTTAGTTTGAGTAATTAAATTAATTTATTATTTAATATTATAAGTAAATAAATTATATTGTAAAAATAATAAATAAAAAGTATCTTAATTTTTAGTTTAATTCGATGTACAATTATGTATATTAAATTTGTTTTCGAATACACATAATTTACATAAAAATATATAAATTATTGCATTTCATAAAGCGGAATGTTGCACTTTATAAGACAACAAGTTGCACCTTATAAGTCATCACGTTGCACTTTATTATCACACTCCACAATTAATTAGTGTCAACAGCTCCCACCAAAATATTACACAATATAAATCTATAAAACTAATCTACACAATATTTTAACATTCATCACATTGTCTATCTACA